TTTCTGGTGATGGGAGAATCCCTGTGGAGTTAAACTAGTGTGTACGAATCTGCTCAGCGTGTGTTTGCAGTGATGAAAAAATGTATTTGAACATGAGTCAACTACGTGCCCTTGTGGCAAGGAGGGCTGACTGTGTTCTGGGCTGCGTTAGGAATAGTGCTGGCAGCTGGTTGAGGGAGGTGATCCTTCCCTTCTGCTCAGCACTGGTGAGGCCACATCTGGAGTGCTGGGTCCAGTGCTGGGATCCCCAGTGTGAGACAGACATGGACATACTGGATCAAATCCAGTGAAAATGGTGAATGGGTTGGGGCACCATGTGTACAGGGTGCCCAGTGAAAAGAGAGGAGGCAGTGGGCATAAACTGAAATACAAGAAATACCATTTAAATGTAAGAATTTTTTTTTTTTTTTTACTGTGAGACAATTGAACACCATAAGAGTTTTCTCAGGCAGATTGTGGAGGCCATGTCCTTGGAGATACTAAAAATCTAACTGGAGCGTCTTGCTGTAGTTGACCCTGCTTTGAGCATGGGTGGACTAGATGACCTCTGGAAATTCTTTCCAACCTCAGCTATTCTATGACTCTATGTTCCTTAACTCCAAGCACAAGTTATATAAGTATAGTTTGATTGATTTTTGAAAAGCTAGTGTAGATACAGTAATATTTTTAAATAAAAAACGAGTAAACATGTACCTTTTTTTTTTTTCACCTTGAAGCCTGCAAATATGTAAAAGGTAAATTTCTTTAGTGTAATTCAACAGTAGTTTCCAAAGTCATTATGGAGAAATAAAAGATTTTTTTCCCAGCATGTGGTTTTCATTGTGCTGTATAACCTGCTGTGTAACTGAGCTTTTGAATTTGGAATTGTACGAAGCATTGTGGAAGTGTTAAATGTTGTCCAATTAATTCCTTCTTGGAATCCATGAGGAATGGGCAAGGGGTTTTGAAGAGAGGTAGGCAAATAGATAATTTCATCAGGAAAGGAAACCTGTTACTTAACACAAACAAGCAAACACAAACCTTCAAAATGCTGGCATTAATGGCATGATCCAGTGCATGGGGAATTTTAAACAGAAAGGATGCTGTTGGCTGGACACTAGATTACACTATAAGTGTACTTAAATATAGGAGTAGAGTTTACATATTTTTTTAGAAAAAGCAAAGTGTACAGAGTTCTTTTATTCTTTTTGGAGGAAAGTTGGTATTGCATTTGGGTTTTAAAATAAACAGTAGCATCTTTGCTTGTTAGCTTCACCCCTAGTTACCTGCCTTTTTCACAGTTGGCAATAAGTTGCCTACCATAACCTGAGTTCCTGGCAAAAAGCTGTGTGGAGGATATTCCCCCACCCCTCAAGTGAATGACTATTATGCCACAAATAAAAAACATCTGCATTTAAATCCAAGAGAAAAAACTGAGGTAGTCCTTACTAAGTTCTTACTGTAACATTTTTATTGGGGCAGTGGTTCAGTAGTGGTCTGAAACATATATGGGTTAATACGTTATTGCCTTTTAGGAAATCCATGGGTTTACAATTATGTCATTGAGTCCAGTTCATAAAAATGAACTATTATATTTCTGTCTCGAGTGTGCGAAGTATCTTGTCAAAGAAAATAACACCAGATGCAACTATGATAACATAATTGTATTGTTTTAAAGAAAATCCTTCTTTTGGGCACTGTTCAGATGTAAGAAAGGGAAGAAACAATGCCATTTGGCATTGTTTTTCCAAGAGGATAGCTTCTGCTTTGGCAACAGTGTTGTATCAATGTGCACAGATTATTAAAGATTTAATTTAGAAAGGCAGAAAATACCTGTTTTATTGGCGCCCTGATATCCTGCCAGATTTTATTTCCCTATTTACTTCATTTCTTGGTTATGCTTCATATTCTGCCTGTGAACAGAACAGCTTTCTTCTTTTAAAATTAAAATTAAAAAAAAAAAAAAAAGGAATCCCGGAAATAAAAAAAAAGACAGATGGCTTTAAACTTTAAATTCCTTTTGAAACTGAGACTTAGGCATATGGGAAAATGCCACACTACTGTTTCTGTTCAGTCACTTCCTCTGGAAGCCAGACATGCATAGATCTGCATAGTGTGCGGGAGAGAGGGACGGAGGGAGAGAGGGATGGAAGGAGTGCAGGAAGGACAACTTATGGCTTTCAGGGGAGACTTAACAGACAGATCTAACTTTCCATCTTCTCTGATGAGAAGCAATAACAAGAAAATACTTTTTAAAGACCTTGAGAGTTATGATGCATACATCTTTTTTACTGGGTCACGAGGAGCAATAGGCATTTAAGATGCAGTGTAAGTATCTAGGGATTTTAGAAGGATTCTTATTCTTCTTGTTTACATTGCTCTTGCTGAAGCTTTTAAGTAAAATGACTAGTGATATATGATAATATTCAGTTACTCTGAGTGGTTTAATATGTGTTTTCGCAGGCAGTGACAATGCATATAGATGTTGCCTTCCCTCAATTCAGTGAAAGATGAAAAAATTGAGGAAGTGTGCCATTTTGTGTAACTCAGGACTCCTCCAGATATCAGAATACGTTTCTTGTATATTAAAAATGCTTTTAGGAAGTCACATTCATTAATAGGTTGTATTGAAAATTGCCTTTCAGTTGCATGCTTTATGTACAATATGACTAATTTTAAATTACTGTACTTCTGGAAGTATATTAACCTTTTTTATATATGCCATTGTACTGTTTTCCTATGTCATCATTACTATGTTTCATTGCTCAGTTTCATTTCAGTTTTCTTTGCTCATTAGTAAGGAATTTAAGTAAATAACGAGTGTTGATTCATTTGCAAATTCATCTATAAACCCATCCACTTGTGATAGTAAATAGGTAAGTGGCTTAGCTTTGTTACAGCATCATAGAATGGTTTGGGTTGGAAGGGAACTTTAAAGATCATCTAGTCCAACGCCCTGCCATGGGCAGGGATGGGAGAGTCTTAGACTCTCCTATGGAGTTGAGTACCCTAATGCAAGCACTGAAAATCACTGCTATCCTCTATAGGCTTGGAAGTAAATGTGATCCCACCAGGAGAAACAACACATGGATATGTTCCTGCAGATAATTTCCAATAGCCAGACTTACCATTTTGGCAGAAAAATAAATAAATAAATAAACACCTCTTTCTTCATAAAGATATACTGTTTGAATCATCATGGAATACAGTAACAATACCTGTGCAATAAAATCTGCTTCTGATGGTGTCTGATTCAGAGATGTTACCTTTTCCACAGTTGTAATTGTAGTGCTCTCCCAGCTGGTGTTTAGTCCACAGGGTATCTAGAAGATTACTGTCATGAAAATGTAGATACCTTTTCTCCCTCTCCTGCTTCAGCCTGTTTCCTTTCTGTTTTCATTTTATTTTATTTTATTTTTAAAGAACCGTGATAAATTTGAGTTAATTTTCAAAGTCACTGTTGAAAATAACAACATCATAACACCTTCTGCACAGGGAAAGTCTGCTGTCCCTGCTATCTGAAGACTTCAGGTGAAGTTCAGACTCTGGAAATCCTATCAGTGCCATGGGTTTAATGAGTAACATGCTGGTCTGATTTTATGGTCACTCTTAAATTAAATAGTAATCTTGGATTCGTTGGATGAGTTATATCTGAGGCTTTTGAGTTACAATGTCCCATTTTTCCTAAAGCAAACACAGAAAAGTGCCTGTTTGTATCCAACCTGCTTTCAATAAACAAAAATAATGAAGGTTTCTGGGCCTTTCCTGAACTAGTACTATTGCTTTTAATTAACTGTTTGCTATTGTTTTGACTGTAGAATCCAGAACCATATAAAAATAATTTGTTTTAATTATACGTTCATAGTAAATGATAGTCAGAATATTAATAGAGATCTCCCATCCTTTCTGCACTAATCTGAGGCAAGTTGAAATTCTGGCGTAGTTTAGCATAAATTCAATGCATTATGTGACTACAGATCCCAGCTTTGTATAGCAAAGATGCAAGTAGTCTAGGAATACTGTGACAGTGACTAGCATCCTGCTGCTTGGTAGCCTCTTTTACCATAAAGCACTGCTTGGTATTTATGTCTCTATTGCCACTCAAGGTTAAAACACAATTCTATGACATCTCTGCCTCTGACTTTGCTTTAGGTGAGAAGAACAGGTACACAGCCCATGTTTTGGCAGTCACTGTGACAGGGATAGTAGAAAGATGTTACTGACACTACAAATGATGAAATACATTAGTCTTTCTGGTATATGATAAAAGAGAAGCAAGCCTTTCTCCCTTTTTTTTTTTTTTCTTTTCTTCCAAATTAGTATCTAATCCCACTTGGAAAAAGCATTGGTTCCCATGCAGCCTGCTCAGCATCATTTTATAATGAGGTTTCATCACAGTGGGCATTACTATAATAGGCTACAAGACCTTTCCCCTATTCCCTCCCCAAGCCTTAGAGGCACTGGCCTATATTTTCTGAAGTGTCTGAGGACTGTGAATAGTCTCAGTTTTAGGGTGTCCTGTCTGAGGCCTCTTGAGTAGACTTGATTTTTCGAAAGACCAATACTTTTGACTTATCTAATAATGACTTTCCCATTAAAATAGCTAAGAAATTAAGAAATCTAAAATCAATGTATTCCCAGCATAAACACAAACTCTTTTCTCTCTGATTCATTTTCCATCTGCTTGTAGAGTGGTTGTGGATGAGAGTAGTCTGGGGTGGTTGGGGGAGGAAATAAGGAAAGAACTAGCTTGGATGCTGCTTGGTTTTATTTTATTCCCTGAAACTGTTAAGAACTCATTGCCAGTTGCACACCCCTATAGCAGATTCCTGCACACACACATGGCCTTTTTTCCAGCCCTGGTTCTCTAGTTGTTTACTGGAGAGAGAGGTGTCAAGTATGCAGTCTTTGTTTTTCAATACTTGGGATAAGTTTTTAATAACGTTTTAGAAAAAGCTCCCTTTGTGACATTTAAAAGTGTGATAGCACTTGTTAATCAGTATTTTATATTGATGTTCCAGGTGGGTAAACTGAGAGAGAAAATCCAAGAGGTTAAGCAAGAAAGGGAGCAAGAGCAGCACAAGCACACTGCCTATGTTTCTGAACTCAAAGCCAAGCTCCACGAGGAGAAAATGAAGGAACTTCAGAGTGTCAGAGAGCTACTCATCCGGCAGCACGAGCAGGAGGTAGCAAGAATGGTGAAAATCAAAGATGGTGAAATTCAGCGTTTGCAGTCAACGGTCAATGTTCTGCGGGACGGGGCGGCTGACAAGGTAAAGACGGCGCTGCTGAGTGAAGCAAAGGAGGAGGCCCGGAAGGCGTTCGACAGTGAACGGATGAAGTTGCAGCAGGAGGTCTTGGAGCTGAAATCTGGCAAAAAGCAGCTTGAGGAAGCTTTGAACAACATTATGCAGGCAGATAAAATGAAGGCTGCTGACCTGCGCACGGCCTATCAGTCCCATCAGGATGAGATTAATAGAATAAAGCGTGAATGTGAGAGAGAGATCCGCAGGCTGGTAAGTTCGTTAAGTAACGTGTGCTTATTTTGGTTTATAGCAGGTATTTGTGTATTACTGTATGTGCCCATAAATATGAAGCCACTCTTTTGCAGTGACATCTTTCATCAGTGCTGGTTGCTATGGTAGACCACTATTTCTACTACTTTCTCCTCCTTAAAGCAAAGATGAACCTTGGCTCCATGGCTAGCCCAACCCAATCCAAAGCTTTGTGTCCCACCAAATGGAATATGAGTGAACCAAGACTTTCTAGGATGAATTTTCTTATCAGATTAAAGAAATAGACTTTCCCTTTCCCACTTGCTCAAGTATTTGTCCTTTCAAAGTCCCATTGACCAAAACAGTCAGGCATTGCTCATTTAGCAATGCAAGAACACCTTGGTCAGATGGCAAAATTAACTTCTAAGAGGGCTTTTATATTTGTATTGGGGGAAACAATTGTGCTGAAACACGATGATGTCTTTGCTGCTTCTTCATCATTATCCAGGTCAGTTGATTTTAAGCATTGTTGCCCTTTCCTATTTTTAAAATCTCTGTGTTTTTTCTATTGCAGTAGAAAAGTTAAGGCCTAGGACAGCAGGCTTTTTTCACGCTTCATAAACCCTAGGACTTCAGCACAGATGGCAGACAGTGCTGTTTGCATAAAATCAAAAAACAGACAGTATTTCCCATCGGCGGGTGCCCCAAATGTTTCAAATTATTCAGCTTTGTAAAATGTAAAGAATCTAAGATGAGCTGTACACAGTAGTACATTTAGAGAGTTCATCATCAAATGACACATTTGTTTGGTACCACGGTATTTTCCATGTATAAGTATGTATCTGATTGTTAATCTGCCTAAACCAGCAGTACAAAAGCTATGTAAATAAAATCTAAAATTATAATAAGCATAATATTTATCATAGATCAAGAAGTACAGGCTTTAAATGGAATGAAACATCAATTTTCTTATGAAAAATATTTTATCAGTTTGTGTTTAAACAAGTATGTCCTCTTATTTCTTGTATTCCTTAGGAAAAATAATGGTGAAGGCAAGCTACAAATGTGTAATATCTCTTTAATGGTGGTGATTTTCTGTCTGAGACAATGAAAGCTTTTAATGCAGTTAATACTTATGCTTTAAATAAATTGGATGTTGATCAAGTCTCAGGGGTATAATTTCCTTGATTAATTAAAGACCATGCAAGAATTGACAATGTGAGATTTCTGTAAGCATAGTTTCTTTCCTATTTTGTGCTATATTATAAATGTAGAATTTAAAAATCATTACTGTAAAGTACAGGTAATTTTAAAAAGTGTTAAAGAGGAGAGAAGGTTGCTATGTTGTGACATGAATAGTTTCTAAATAAATTTAACCTTCTCAAAGAAGGTCACCTCACCAAGAAATGGTAAGGTGAGGCACATAGCGGTGAACCCCAAATTCTGTCATCCCAAATTGCTTCTGTAAACACACCTGTGCCATGTCTTTGAGTGTTACTGTAAAGGAAACGCTTAACTCTTCTCTTTCAAGAGTAGAAGCTTTCAGCCTGCGCTGGTGTGAAGGTGATGAAGGAGAACATTTGGGGGTTTCTCTCTCCCACAAGAAATTCCTGTTGAGTCATTCTGAAATTTAATTGGAGCCTTACCGGGCCTCCATTACTCAGTACGTCTAAAAAGGTGACTGTATTGGGAGAGTCTGTAGATAATTCTTGTTTCCTATTCCTGGCCCCAGAGTAAGCCTGCCATCAGTCTCACGGGCTTCTACTGAAAATATTCACATCCCACACCCCCCTCCACTGCCCCCCCCCTGCCCCCCCCGGCTTGTAGTGCCTCGTCTCCTTTTAGATAAGAATTTCAATTTTTTCATTAAATTGTATGGTTTGTTTTTATGAAAAAGAAGTGTTTCTTCTAGGAATTCATAGCAATTTAGGCAGTTGTTATTGCATAGGGCACGCTGGGGAGAGGTAAAAAGTACTGCAGGATTCCTAGATGCTGCTCTCTTCCTCTGGGAGAGCAATTGGGATTATAGAATCAGATCATCAGCATATTTCCCTCTCCCCTCCACATTCCATTTTAATTAGTGCAAGGGATGCTTGCCTTCAATTTCAGATTAACTGTATCAGCTGCGGATTTGGGCTACTCAGTTGGTTTTGTTCCTACTTTTGTGGGATGAAATGGCAAGGATGTGACACAGTTCTGTAACTGAGCTATGATTAATGTGCTTTTTTTTAGTCTGTGTTATGTTTTACGGCACTAATAAGAAATCAGCATCTTTGGTATTAATGACCTAAATGGGCCAGCCATACTGTAATTCAAATTCAGATATAATAACTCAGTGTCTGATTGTCTTATTGGACTCGACTGATTTATTTTGCATTTTAGATCACAGGTTAGTTTTGCAGATATATTTCATATAGATATTGCAGCTAAAAAAAAAAAATCAATATTTTTACCATTGATTTTAATACCAGTGACTGATTTTATTAAATTCTTGGATTTATTTTTGTCTTGCCATCAAAAAAACAATAGTGAGAAAGGAAAAAAGCAAAATCTATTGTCTGTGGATATATGGACACAATTACATTATGTGCATAAACAACCATGCCTGTATTGTGCAAATGTCAGTATTTTAGAAATATGATTAACCAATTTTGAGATTGTCTTCACAGTTTTGAATTGAGTCATGACAATAAGCCTCAGTACAAACAATATTGAATGGGGAAGATCCTAGTGCCTAATAAGGGAAAGTAAAATAGCTATTTGGCAAAAAATATAACACACTTTTTCTCTGCACAGTATGCAATTACATTGGAATTTGTCAGTTCCTGTGACTGACTTAATATTACAAGGATAGAAATGTTTTCATTAATTTAAGGAATGCTTATGGACATTGATTTTTTATTTATTATTATTTTTTTTCCCCCAAAATGAAAATATATTCTTGCTGTATGTATGCGTCAGCACAATGTGCTAGCAGCTAAGGAACTGGAAGTAAAAATAACTAGTAACAAACTGGAGAGACAAATGAAATAGTTTTAAAAGTAAAGAGACAACTTGGAGAATAAGATAAGAAAGCAAGAATGTCTATTAATTTTTTCAGCCAATACTTTCTGAGTTGTTGAGTCTGAACAGTTGAACTGTTCTGTCAATGCAGTATGAAAACTATGCTGGTACAGGTTCGGATACTTAAAACCAGAAATAACATTAAAAAACAGCAAGTAGGAAAAAAGAAAAAAAAAAAAAGTAGAAACAGCAAACTGAAAAATAATCTGCATGAAGGAAATATGTTAAAGCCTTTTTTATGGATCGGTTTTTTTTTTCAAAAAGAAGAATGTACAAAATCATAATTGTACTTTTTCATTCATGGAGCTTCAGTGTAAACAGCCCTGAAGCGTACATTCAGCTGAGAGCTGTATAGTCAAGCATGTACATACCTAAAAACCTGTATCAACAGACTTCTGGTTTAATGGCATCCTTGTAAGCAGTATGTCTGGTTTCCTTCTGAGGTCTGGGCTGGAATAAGGTAAATTTAATACAAACCTGAATAATGGTGAAGAGCAGTTGAGTTAGTTAAGTTGTGTTTATGAAGTAGCCTAAAGAACTGTACTACCAGAGCATTTAATATTTTAATCTAAATATTAAAAAGTACACAAAATAACAGTATATTTCAGCCAGTTTTTCTTGGGCCTCAGTTAAGCTTGTCATTTAACTCACTTACTTGGTTTTAACATCAGGTTTAAAGTTAGTTTTCAGTGGTAAGTAAAATTTATATTATTTGCCTGAAATTGCTGAAATAGCATGTTCAAATTGTTGATGAATTTTGGCAACAGACCAACCTTGTCCTGTTATCAGCACAGCTGTGAAGGAGGGCATGAATATTAAGTGTATTGCATTAGAGGTTGATGCATTCTGGGACTACCTGGACACTGATTTTAAAAAGGCCCCTACTTTGCAAGGCATGTTTCTCTAGATACTCTTTTTGCCGGAGATAAGAACAATGGATGCTTTGCAGTGCTTGCCTTTGAAAATACGTGCAAAAAACCAATAATTAAAAGTATATTGAATTATTTAATCACTGATTTACTCATTTATAGTATTTCTTGAATAAAAAGGAAGCTGAAGATTTATTTTTTCAGACACTTGTTAATATAAACATAATATTTAAAATCTGGAATATACCGATGACACTTCTGTTCTGTGTTTTGTGGTGTAGGGTTTTAGTAAATATTATTTCCTCTACTGGAAATGTCTTTTGCATCAAACCTTTCACCTATTTTACAGATAAATACCATTTGACCTTGTTAAAATCTTTGCACGTATGGTCTTCCTAAATATTCCTGAACAACTTGGATTTAAATCTATTGAAAGACTTATTTCCCTTTAATGTAAAATAGTGCCAGTTTTCTTAACCACAAAATCAGTGTAAAATATGTGCTGATCTTATTAGGTGGACAATAAGATCCATGTTTAAGAGGGCACATAGTACATCAGATGAATTAAATTTGCTTATTTCAGTTGTATTCTCAAATAACCTTGTAAAAATCGTCTAAAGAGTAATGTGACATTACTGCAGATCCATACTTCCAAGGAAAAAATCCTTTTGCTATGAATAGAATCAAAGTAGAAGACATTGTTTTCAGGCGTGGTTTCCAGAAGTTCCTGATCAGCCATGATTTAGGAAGTTAAATGCACTATTTAAATGTCCTTAATCCAAATTATCTAGTTGCATAAATTAAAAACTACTTCCATTGTAGAACTCTTTTTCTGTTTTGTGTTTGCCAAATATAAGTAATGCAGTACCTGCAAGGATATAATTGAAACTAATAGATTAAGCAGTTTTTAAAGGTAAAAATCAAGGCAGTTTCAGTGAAACTTCTGTTTAAGGGAAAAACCCTCTTACAGAATAAATTTATGTACCATTTATTTAGTGGTTTGTTGGGGTTTTTTTAATATTGTTATTTCAGTTTTGTGTCTATGTGACACTGTATCTCATGAGTTAAGTGAAGGCTTCTGAAAGACTG